GACAGGAAGAGAACACCACAGGCATCGCATGCAGTAACCCTCCAGGAAATCGAGTGGGAACAGCAGAGGAAACAGCAGGAAAGCTCTTAAAAACGACCATGGCTTAATTACAGCCAAGAAACACATTACGGACTTGTACATTCCCACTCTCATCTTGATCTTGACTTGAAAGCCTGCTTTTAGTACAAGACGTGCGTGGGTGACCGTGACTGGGATCCCCATCACTTGGACAGGCCGTTTCCCATGCTTGGTGGGGACAAGCGACACACCACTGATCGGCTCTCAGGCCCTGCAGGAGAGGCATGGCACGGTAGCGAGGCAGCCATGTGAGACCCCCCACCCCCCCGCAAGAGCCTCCTCCGAAACAGACTAAAAAACACCAGCGTTGGCACCATGACCCATCCCTTTGAGCTCCTGACTGAAACCCAGAACCTGTTCTGCCTACAGAAGGACGACCCCTGAGCTGGTGTCTACGGGCGAGGGAAACGTCTTCTTCAGGCGCGACATCCCAGTCCACAGCAACGACGTCTCCACCTCCCTGTCTGCCCACCCAGACAGCCCCCCCACTCCCAGCTCCCCAGTCACCTTTTACTTATCGCCTGGCATTTCCTGACACTGCTGATCGAGCTGCCCTCGCTCAGGGCACAGGACGAAGACACGGGCTTAACGCAGGGGGTGGCTGGATTTTTTTAATTATTATTATTATTATTTTCCACTGCCGGCCGATTTCTTCGCCGCACAGAGAGATGGGATCGGGGCGCGAAGGAAACAGTAAATTACACTGCCTTTCAGCTCGGGCAAAGGCCTGTCAGACCTAATAAGTTCAGACGTCTTTCACTAATTTTGCGGTTTATTGCGAGCTGAAGTTGGAATCTAATTAGGGCTGGTGTGCTTGGGGGCAGCTCTGCCTCTCCGCCTCTCTCCCCCACCCCCCACCGGCTTCTCCAGCACCTACTCGGCTGCGCTGTGTGTTTGTCTTGGCACGCCGGCACACCCAGCAGAATTCGAGCCTGCCGGGTTCCGCGACGCACACGCGGAACCTTCGAGCCTCGCTGCGGAGCTGCCCGAGTCATCCCAGGCTTTCCGCCTCGCCAGCTCCGCCAGTCTTCCCGGTCAAGAGGCAGCCAGCACGCAGAAGCCCACGCTGCGGTCTCGTCGCGCCCCAGCCCCATCCCGCTCCCCCCTCTCCAGTACCGGCTCACCGATGCCCGGGCCGTGTTCCTGCTGCTTGCAAGGTGGCCCAACACCATCAGTATTCGCCACGTCCACCCGACCCCCAGGAGGCCCATTAAAAACAAACAAACAAACAAACACAGACACCCGGGTTCACAAGCGCGTTGGAAAACGACAATCAAACTGCATCGCCGTTTCCCTTTAACTGAATCAACTCTTTTCATTGACTGCAAGGCCCCA